TAGAGAAAAATTGGGAATAGAGAGGATGAGGATGGATAAATCCAAAATTCCCAAAAAATTCCCTAAAACCCTGCGCTGGGAAAGGACAGTCTGGGTGGTTCCTGTCACCTGGATGAGAGTGAGAGAGCAGAAATCATTGTACTGGAGAATGAGGAACAGAGAGGATGAGGATGGATAAAGCCAAAATTCCTGACAAGGAATTCCCTGTAACTCTGAGCTGGGAAAGGACAGTCTGGGGGGTTCCTGTCACCTGGATGAGGGACACGGTGCCATCGGGGTTGCTGAAGGTCTGCACCACGGTCTGTGATGGCACCAGGTGGGCGATGCTGTGCGTGGTGGTGGTCTGTGGTGCCTGCTGGTCCTCAAAAGCGTACAGCAGATCCTCACGGCCGTGCTGCTTGTAGCAATTCTTGACAATGGTGCGCAGGGCCTGCGTCCAGGACACCTTCAGGAGGAGGAGAAAACAGGGAAAGTCACTCCAGGGAGTTTGTGTGGTTTATTACCTGTGAGGGAAAAAGGGTTCTACAAGCTCTGATTGTGAAACTCAGCTAATTATTGTGTATGACTGAAGCCTGGGAAAAAAAAGGGAGTGTTAACATGGAAGAGGAATGCTGCATCCTTGACTGCTGATGAAGAAAGCAGATTAGAATGTAAAATTGGCTGGAAATTATAAACATTACTAATACTGTAGCTTTTGCAAACTCACCAATTATGTTCTGATTACTAATTAAACAGCTGTCTCTTGACCAATGTATGTTTGACACAAATGTATACTCTGGTTGTTAAAGTAAATAAAAGAGGCTTGTCCTACAATAAAATCCTTCTTTCTTTCTCTCTCTCTGTTTTTTCAGCTACTTTTGTATATTTTATATCTATTTTTTATGTCGCTGTTTAGCCAGCAGCGATAATTACCGGGGTTTAAAAACCCCCATTTGCACCAACTCGCGAATAAACGGTGCTGATGTTTCATCCCCCTCTCCTCATTCCCCTCTTTTCCCAATAAAATAGCCCTGAGGAGCTTCCTGATCCACTGGAGATGGCCCTGATTGCTGTAGGGGCTGGATGAACTGACCTTTAAAAGGGTTGGGGTTGGGTCAGGACCTAAACCCAAACCACTCCAACACAAACCATTCTGACACTCCCAATAGGAAACTGCTGAGAAAATTCCCGAATTCTTCCCCAAACCATTCTGTGACTCCAAATAGGAAAACTGCTGGGAAAACACCCAAATTCTGCCCCAAACCATTCTGTGACTCCATGTAGAAAACTGCTGGATTTGGGAAAACACCCAAATTCTGCCCCAAACCATTCTGTGACTCCAAATAGGAAAACTGCTGAGAAAATTCCCAAATTCTGCCCCAAACTACTCTGTGGCTCCAAATATGAAAACTGCTGGATTTGGGAAAACACCCAAATTCTGCCCCAAATCACTCTGTGGCTCCACATAGAAAACTGCTGGATTTGGGAAAACACCCAAATTCTGCCCCAAATCACTCTGTGGCTCCACATAGAAAACTGCTGGATTTGGGAAAACACCTAAATTTTGCCACAACCCCATTTCCTGCCTCCTCATCCCTCAGCCCTAAACCATTCTGTGACACCACACAGAAAACTGCTGGATTTGGGAAAACGCCCAAATTCTGCCCCAAACCATTCTGTGACTCCATGTAGAAAACTGCTGGATTTGGGAAAACACCCAAAGTCTGCCTCAGCCCCATTTCCTGCCTTTCCACCTTCCAGCCCCAAACCATTCTGTGACTCCAAATAGGAAAACTGCTGAGAAAATTCCCAAATTCTGCCCCAAACCGTTCTGTGTCTCCAAATAGGAAAACTGCTGGATGAACTGACCTTTAAAAGGGTTGGGGTTGGGTCAGGACCTAAACTCAAACCACTCCAACCCAAATCACTCAGTGATTCCAAATAGGAAAACTGCTGGATTTGGGAAAAAACTCAAATTCTGCTGCAGCCCCATTTCCTGCCTCCTCATCCCCCAGCCCCAAACTACTCTGAGACTCCAAATAGGAAACTGTTGGATTTGGGAAAAAACCCAAATTCTGCCTCAGTCCCATTTCCTGCCTCCCCATCCCTCAGCCCCAAACTACTCTGAGACTACAAATAGGAAAACTGCTGGGAAAACACCCAAATTCTGCCCCAAATCACTCTGTGATTCCAAATAGGAAACTGCTGGATTTGGGAAAATACCCAAATTCTGCCTCAGCCCCATTTCCTGCCTCCCAATCTCTCGGGCCCAAACCACTCTGTGATTCCATGTAGAAAACTGCTGGATTTGGGAAAACACCCAAATTCTGCCCCAAACCACTCTGAGACTCCAAATAGGAAACTGTTGGATTTGGGAAAAAACCCAAATTCTGCTGCAGCCCCATTTCCTGCCTCCTCATCCCCCAGCCCCAAACTACTCTGAGACTACAAAAAGGAAAACTGCTGAGAAAACACCCAAATTCTGCCCCAAATCACTCTGAGACTCCAAATAGGAAAACTGCTGGATTTAGGAAAATACCCAAATTCTGCCCCAAACCATTCTGTGGCTCCACACAGAAAACTACTGGATTTGGGAAAACACCCAAATTCTGCTGCAGCCCCATTTCCTGCCTCCCCATCACTCAGCCCTAAACCATTCTGTGACACCACATAGAAAACTGCTGAGAAAATTCCCAAATTCTGCCCCAAACCATTCTGTGACTCCATACAGAAAACTGCTGGATTTGGGAAAAAACCCAAATTCTGCCACAGCCCCATTTCCTGCCTCCCCATCCCTCAGCCTCAAACCATTCTGTGACTCCAAATAGGAAAACTGCTGAGAAAATTCCCAAATTCTGCCCCAAACTATTCTGTGACTCCAAACAGGAAAACTGCTGGATTTGGGAAAACACCCAAATTCTGCCCCAAATCTCTCTGTGACTCCAAATAGGAAAACTGATGGATTTGGGAAAACACCTAAATTCTGCCACAGCCCCATTTCTTGTCTCCCCACCCCCAAACCAACTGCACAAACCCTGCTCTTTCCACACCACTCTCTTTTTTTTCCCAGCTCCACAGCCCAGAATAACTTTCATGGCTCTTACAAACAGGTTTTAAATCACTGGGACAACATGAAATTTCCAAAAAATCASATTGAAGGACAAACCAGCAGCTCAAAAACCTTTTAGATCTGACTGAAGCACCAACATCAGCTCAGATCACCCCATTTCACTCCTGCTCATCCATGATTTTTTTCCTTCAAACTCCCTGCTCCAGGAGGGCACAGAAGCCTTCCCTTCTTTCAGGAAGTTGTGAAAAACCCTTTTTTCTGTCCCTTGAGGGTAAAACCTCTCCACAAAACCCTTTTGGGGGCAGCCAGGGGAGAACTCACCCTCTGTTTCTGCTCCTCGGTGCGGACGTCGCTGCGGACGTTGGCCCATGGGATGTCCTCGGGCCACCAGATGGGTTTGCAGCTCTCCTTGCCCCAGCCTGGCTTGCCACGACCCGTGGAATATTTCAGCATTTCGGGGATGAAGGCTCTCAGCTGGGCCTGCAAAAAACCAGAGGGTTCAGGGGTTTAGGGATTTGGGGTGTTTGGTGCGGGGTTGTGGGGTTTAATTTTCATTGCGTCTGCTGGAAGGGGATGAATTCCCAAGGAAAATGGATAAAGCTTTGCCATTCTGTCCCAAAAATCAGCTGGGCAGCACTTGGAAAAACAGAAAACAAAATTCAGTCAGCAGAAAGAAAATAAATCAGCAGAAAGACAATGGAATCAGCAGAAAGAAAATAAATCAGCAGAAACAAAATGGAGTCAGCAGAAACAAATGTTTTGGTTGGAAGAGATATTTAAATTCCCCAGCTGCCAAGGCCACCACTGCCACTGTCCCCAAGTGCCACATCCACAGGGTGTGAACCCCAAAAATAAAGGGATGGGGACTCCACCTGTGCCAGAATGGATAACCCTTTCCATGGAGAAATATTCCCTAAAATCCATCCTAAACCTCCCCTGGCCCGGCCTGAGCTGTTCCCTGTTCCTGTCCCTGTTCCCTGGGATGAGATTCCAAATCCCACTCTCCTGTCAGGGACTTGTGCAGAGCCACAAGGTCCCCCCGATCCCATTTTCTCCAGGCTGAGCCCTTTTCCAGCTCCCTCAGGAATTCTCCAGAACCTTCTCCTGCTGCTCCAACTCCTTCAGGAATTCTCCAGACCTTTCCCAGTTCCTTCAGAAAATCACCCGATCCTTCCCAACTCCCTCAGGAATTCTCCAGACCCTTCCCAGCTCCTTTAGGAATTTTCCAGACCTTTCCCAGCTCCTTCAGAAGTTCTCCAGACCCTTCTCCTGCTGTTCCACCTCCCTCAGGAATTCTCCAGACCCTTCCCAACTCCCTCAGGAATTCTCCAGACCTTTCCCATCTCCCTCAGGAATTCTCCAGACCTTTCCCAGCTCCTTTAGGAATTCTCCAGACCTTTCCCAGCTCTCTCAGGAATTCTCCAGACCCTTCCCAGCTCTCTCAGGGATTCCCCATCTCCCTCAGGCATTCTCCAGACCTTTCCCATCTCCTTCAGGAATTCTCCAGACCTTTCCCATCTCCCTCAGAAGTTCTCCAGACCTTTTTCCTGCTGCTCCAGCTCCCTCAGGAATTCTCCAGACCATTCCCAACTTCTTCAGGAATTCTCCAGACCCTTCCCAGAGCTCCTCAGGATTCTCCAGACCTTTCCCACCTCCCTCAGGAACTCTCCAGACCTTTCCCAGCTCCTTCAGGAATTCTCCAGACCCTTCCCATCTTCCTCAGGAATTCTCCACAACCTTCTCCTGCTGCTCCAACTCCTTCAGGAATTCTCCAGACCGTACCCACCTCCCTCCAGACCTTTCCCAACTCCCTCAGAAATTCTCCAGACCTTTCCCACCTCCCTCAGGGATTCCCCATCTCCCTCAGGAATTCTCCAAACCCTTCCCAGCTCCCTCAGGAATTCTCCAGACCTTTCCCATCTTCCTCAGGAATTCTCCAGACCATTCCCAACTCCTTCAGGAATTCTCCAGACCTTTCCCAGCTCCCTCAGGAATTCTCCAGACCTTTCCCAGCTCCCTCAGGAATTCTCCAGACCTTTCCCAGCTCCCTCAGGAATTCTCCAGACCTTTTCCATTCTCCAGGCCCTTCCCAGTTCCCTCAGAAGTTCTCCAGACCTTTCCCAGCTCCCTCTAGACCCTTCCCATCTCCTTTAGGAATTCTCCAGACCTTTCCCACCTCCCTCAGGAATTCTCCAGACCTTTCCCAGCTCCTTTAGGAATTCTCCAGACCCTTCCCAGCTACCTCAGGAATTCTCCAGATCCTTTCCCAGCTCCTTTAGGAATTCTCCAGACTTTTCTCAGCTCCTTCA